AGCTGTTGTAGAAACCCCACGTCAACACATGTGTCTTCTTTAATGTCTTTTCTGCAGCTAATTTTGGAAATATTCAAAAGTGAAGGGGCTTTGCTAATATGATCTTGCGTTTCCAACCATAAACCAGGTTATTATTTCCAACTAAACTCTATGTCTGAGATGCATTGTATAAAAAATGTTAGGTTAAGAATCTCATTTATTTTTACTTTTCTTACACACCTCATCGAAAACACCTCTTGAAAAATGATGAGATCAGTCGTGAAGACCCTACAAACATGTTACAAACATTTTTCGATGCAGTGAAAAGCCTTTTTCAGTGGTATATTAGACATTTGTTAGAGGTTTGTTAGAATTCCTCCTCCATTATTTCAAAGCAAACTGTAACAGGACCTTTAATGCTCCAAGGTCCTCCTTAATGTCACAAATTGTTTATAGACTAAGGACGAGAATCACTACAGCATAATCTGCTATTGCACTTTTGTTCAATCTGAAACATTCCATTTGAATTGCTTACAGATTCTTTAAAAAATACACATTTTCTCAAGGTTATTATCTTTATTTCCCAGAAAATCACCCTAACCAACAATTTGTTATCAAGTAATCCATTTGTATTGCACTTTTTAATGCAGATTGGTGCAATTTAATACCATTAAAACTAAAATAAAGACAACAAAAATTGTAAATGAGAACATTTTAATAAAGAAAAAACTTAATAAAATAGATGTAAAAGAAAAGTTGAAAATAAAATCTAGATTATTCAAATAATAAATAGTATATAATATTAATTTCACATCATAAATACGATCAAATAATAATAAAAACAATTCTATAAATTATTGTTAATCGAAGGCCTGTCTAAATTGATTTTTAATTTTACTTGTAAAGATTGACAGATTTTGTCTCTCAATACGTTCCGCAGCTTAACATTTTAAAAATGATTCCTTGTTGTCCTTGTTTTCCCACAGTCACATGTTTCTGCAGCAGCTCCATCTCCATATTACGCATGTTCTCTAAAGCATTGTGCACATGAGTGGAACTTTAAATGAGCTGACCCCCCCCGAGTGTTTCTGTGCTGATGAGGTTGATGTTGGACTGGTTTGTGTGTCGTCGTAGCCCGTGGTAAAATGAAGTACCTTTTTTGTGATTTGACCTGATTCTGTGCGAGTTTGAACAAAAAGGCTGCGTTTACAAGAAAATAAAACCAGCTGGCGTGGTGTGTATGTTTTTTATTTCTTGTTTTGTTCCCCTGAATTATGCTCCGGTGCCATTTTCCATTTTAACGAAAATAATTTCCGAACTTTTTCTAACTGCAGTGTGTTTTTCATTTTATTTTTCCTACTTTTCCCAAGAACACAAAACCTGTGTAAAGAAAGAACCTGTCCTTGATTTTGTCTTTGTTTATTTATTAATTTGTATATAAATATTTTGTTTTGCAATGTACATTCTTTCCTTTCTTGGTTATAGATTAATATATTCATGTATATACGAATAAACATTAAGTTTATAAAATGAATAAGACTCTTTACCTTTATTGTGTTTGGCAAAGATGGAGATTTAAGGGAGGGGTGAAAAAATAAGGATGCCAAACTCCTAAATGTATTGTTAAAAATCACAAAATCATGCAGTAATGTATTAGGAATGTGTGGAGTTGTACCTTTTTAGAATTCAGATGTGTTGGCACTTTATTATTTTTATCTGATGTAAGGACCCACCGTGACACATGAACTTTAAATGTTCTGGAAAGTTCCTTATACAGCTTTAGCCTTGTTTTTATCTCATGAAGTCCCTAAGTGGCAAACACTGAAAAGTCTGGTGGGTCATGGTCCAGGACATTTGATTTTGTGTTCCCATACC